GTTGGAAAAATATTTCACCACATTGACTTTGATCGCAGAACGTCACACACTGGCACAATATCATCATTTTAAAAGAATTTTACAATTTTACACGCCAGGAAATGAGTAAAGTTTCACATCGCGTACACGTAATTGTTAATTGTGAAAAGTATTTTCACAGAGCTTGACAATTGCTATAAAATAAAATGTTAATAGTGACATTAGTTAAATGAATCGAAAAATACAATGATAAATTGTTGAATTCAGATTAATTTTATTTGGTATTTTATAAATATCAAAATATCTTCGAGGAAATGATATTAATAAAGTATTGTTTATGATTAAAAACTGAAAGAAGAATAAATAAGGAATCCAAAAAGGTATCCACGTCAGTTGGAATGAGAAGGATTATGAAAGGCCGACAAGTTGAGAACCACAGACAAGAGAAAACTGCATTGTCGATGGTGAGTTTTAGCGTTTACAAACCATTGGCGTCTGGCGTCGGCGTATCTACTATTTAGAGAAGATATTTTATGGCAATAATTTGAGTTTTGTTTATGAAGTTTGTGATCGAATCTAGGAGTTTTATGGTTCCAAAATTATTTAGTACTATTAAATCTATTTTCTAATTCTTACAGTATAAGTCTCTAAATGGCGTTCTTATGTTGTTCTTAAACTACTTTACATGCGTTCTACTGCTTTACGTCTAGACGCATTCCACAATGACCCAAGTATTTTAGATTTCGGTGTCTATGGATTATTCATGCCCACAAAGTAAAAATATTTTGAAGGGACAGTTTTCACTCATCACTCAATTACATCGAAGTGTTTCTCTTTTAAATAATGGTTTGCTTCAACACACCGCATTAAGAACTATCTCACCTACCCATTTTTTCGCAGTCGTTGTTTGAAACAAACGAGTAACGTTACTATCTTTTTTATGAAGTTTACATAAAATTAAAACTCTTTTTGATCATTGAGATCAAAATACATATAAAAACACTAAGAGGTAATATTTTTTATCAAATAAATTGTCGAAACAAATTACTTACAAATGTTAAGAGGTACATTTGTACAATATTATACTTTAACAGAACTTTTTCTTAAACAATTTTATTTCTTGGTAACATGCACTTGGAAGTTCAGGTTTGTCAATATCATTCCAAATTGTATTTGCTAAACGTCATTTTCTGCATCAGCAAAGTCTGTGCTGCTTTCAGCCACTACTGAAATACCAGCTGTGTTATCTTTTTACACTCAAACGGACAACTTCTGAATCTGGAAATATAATTCAGAGAATCTTCAGCAATAATGTCCAGTACACTGCTCACCATTTGGAAACTTTAAAAATAACGTAATGTCTCGAGGAATTTCTCCAAATGTGTTTATTGTTATTGGCAGTTTTACACATTTACCATTTCGGTAAGTCACAAATCATGCTACATCGATGAAAACACGAAACATATCATCAGTTAGGTGCATTGCCTTGTACTTTTGAAAGGATGAACTACTACATTATATTATCTAGAGTCTCCTTTACTTGTAAACTTCGTTTTTTTATATTCGGTGTTACAGCCCGAATACTTTGATCTTCATTTGTGACGAGCTTTACAGTATACGCGAGTTCTTTAATTCTTGCTTTCCAATTCTTCAGTCCACTCACGACAACCTCCTTTGCAGTGTAAAACAACATTTAAAAAATATTCACTTCACATCCGACAAGTATTTTTCTAGTAAGAATAGATGTAAATACTCTTACAAAGGCGGCATAGGTCCGATTTTCACTGATAACTCATCTTCGAAAATTGCAAAAGATTGATTTTTTTCGGCGCCTTCCTACAACTACAATACTGAATATAAAGATTTTTCCTTCATAAAATTTAATTCTCCATAGTCAATTCTTATTAATGTCAAGTAAATGTTTTGAAAATTTTAGTAGTTTTTGCGTAATATTGCGAGCAATATGTGCAATTTGTGTATCCCAACTAAAAGTTTAAAGATAAAAATTGGAGCTGTTTTTGAGAGAATCTTGTTTTTGTTATTTTTTTAATATTGCACACAATATTAGGCTAAAACTAGTACAATTTTCAATATTTGAGAAAATTTGGAAAATGTTCCAGTGGCTTCTTGTTAAGTATCCTCAAATTTTAAAGAATGTTTTTCAAAATAGCAACGCCTGGACTCGAGCCATATCCGCCGAGGAATGTCCATTTTGGAGAAAATCCTACATATGATATGGTTTTACAAACGTACAGGCAGATAGACAGACAGACACAGACAGACAGACAGACAGACAGACAGGCAGGCAGACAAACAGACAGACAGACAGACAGACAGACAGGCAGGTAGGCAGGCAGGCAGTCAGACAGACAGACAGGCAGACAGACAGACAGACAGACAGGCAGGCAGGTAGGCAGGCAGTCAGACAGACAGACAGGCAGTCAGGCAGGCAGATAGTCAGACAGATAGACAGTCAGACAGAGAGTCAGATAGACAGTCGGAGAGACAGTCAGAGAGACAGTCAGACAGACAGACAACCGGACAAATGAACAGACGGACAGACGAACAAACGGACAGACGGATAAACGGACAGACGGATAAACGGACAGACGGATAAACGGACAGACGGATAAACGGACAAATGGACAGACGGACAAACGGATAGACATACAGATAGACGGACAGATCGACGTTTTGAAAGGGGGGGGAACAACACTTTTTTGGTGTTAGGGGACCCCAAAAGGTGTATTTCCGTGGAAACCTCGAAATCAATTTTCTGCAGCTTTACATAACTTTCTGTGTACTGGGTTTATTACTTGTATATACGTACAAGAAAGTAAAATAGGCTGATTATTTACGAATTGGCTCTGGTTTTCGTGTAATCGTTTTGAAAATTTACATCGCCAATTTCGAAGAAACACACAAATTGACAGAAAACTAGGAAACTAGGCGGTGGACACGCGAGAGATGTAAATGGTTTTGTTAGATGTCCAGGAAATCGATAAAAATCCGAAACCAATGAAACAGATTCGATTTTGTCTGAAAAAACAACAACAACCACAAATACATGATAGTGTTATCCCGCCTAATCACATTGACTGAGTTCCCATACTTAGTTGGTACGTTCTTACAAGATAGCTTATTTCGTGTGATGAGGAAGAAAGATGCTTCAAATATTCTGTACTATTTCAGTGCAACCAATTTGTGATGTTTCAGAACTCCGTCCTCCTTACTCTTGTCAGCTGCATTTCATAGTGCTGCAGGCTCCTAGTTATATAATACTTTTAAAAATATAATCCAACCAAGAGATTTACAAGTTTAAGAATCTTTTCTCAAAATAATATTTTCTTTCTTCTTTTAAAAGCGAAGATATTGTCAATTACTAGAAATAACATTAGGAACTATATGATACGAAAAATTCCGTGTACTGTATTAAGACGCAAAATTGGGCGGACCAATTATTTACTTCGCTAACTAATATTACGTGTAATAATATGTGTGAATGTTGAGATCCTATGAATATTTTATTCATAGGAATAAAATAGAAAAAGATGGATAAGATACATAACAACAAAGACCAAACATTTAAATGGCTTATAAGGGGTAGAACAACGAGTTAGAGATCATTAGGAACTATCTCTAACTCGTTGGGGTAGAAAGAAGCCGGAATCGGAAACAGCTGTTATGGCTGCCCAAGATTGGGCATTGAGAACATATGAATTGAATTGAATTGAATTGAATGCCTTATTTTACGTGGCGAGACTCAGGCCATGAGGCCTGCTCTTCCGTCTGACCACGCAAATTTCGCTACGATCCTTTCACCAACTAGCAGAGAAAGGAGGTATTTCTTGGGAAAGAAAAAGGCGATTTCAATTTAGCTCAGAGGCGTCATTTAGGCTTGAGGATATTTTACATGCAAGTAAATCTACGAACATGGAGCAGCCGGCTTTTTTTCCCCTCCGAAGGAAGTCGTACGAAGGATTTTCTCACCCTTAAAAATCCACGGCTTCAATCGAGTTTGAATCCGCCAACTTGGGTTCAACAGCCCGATACGCTAACCATTACACCATCGCCGACGCCGGAGATTCGGAGAAAAAACGTTCGATCCACGAGCTTTGAAGAGCAAACAAAAAGGTTCTCAATTCCGGACATCGAACATTTTTTCTTTACGTTAACAGTTGAAGTATACTCTACAGACAATGCCTGGAGAATTCTGTTTATATTTTAAGAACGTTTCTCATTTTTAACTCAAAACCCGCAAAATGTAACATCGAACCTTTATGTTTGCTGCGATTCATATATGATAAAGCAGTTTTCAAAATTTCCTAGGATATTAAATGTCATATTTGTAAAGAAAACGTAGAAACCATTGATCATGTAGTCTCAGCTTATTCAATCCTGGCAAAGTGAGAATACCTGAAAAAGCTCGATAGGGTCAGTAGTTATCTCCACTAGCAGATGTGTAATGATCTCTGAGTTCCACACACATGCTGCAAATGGTATGAACGTTTACCCGCGACGCATGTTGGGATGTGAACACAATCATACGATAGTAGCAAACAAACTACGTAATGTTATTCGAGATTTAGGAAAAAATCGTTTCTACTTGCGAATATTTCTGTGCCTTTCGATCTGAATGTTATAATCACGAAGATACCTCGCCCCCTAATATTTCAAAGAATATTCAATAGTTTTATACTAATTTCAATGTTTTACTATTGACACTTTCAGTGAAACATGTTATAACGATCTTTATTCATTTTATGACACTGAGGCTGTGAAATTAAAACTAATGAAATTATTTGTTTTAGTAGGTACAGGCTACTCTGAATAGCGCCCCTTGTGAGTGGCGCCCATGGCACGTGCCATACCGTAGTTATGCATTTGCTTGTCAGTAATAACTGTAACATATAAGAAAATTCAAGTAAAGGAATATTAAAAGCCAGTTTTAAATTCCCGCGAGTACCATTAAGCATTATGCACGAATTTTTGAAACAAAAACGAATCTCAATACCTTCAGTGTTGCCAACAATAATATTACCAACTGCTAGGAGGCCAAGAAAGAGCACTATTTTTGCTTCGAGACTATTTTCTTGTTGTGTTGTGCAGGTTGTGTCAATGTTGTGGAAAGGCGCAAAGTGTATATGCCGCTTGAAAGATGTGTTATTTCATAGACGATTTTTAAGGTATTGCTATTTCATCATGAAAGTACAGGAGGTTATGGTTCACATGTTTTGCACATTAAATTTAAACTACTTCAATACAAGGTGGAGGTAAATGAAATTTATTTCACAAAGTTATGTTTCATGTATCTTTCTGTTTGCAGCTGGAGTAAAAAAGGAACAACGGATTATAATAATGTAGTGGATGGATTAAAGAATGTGTACCGGGAGAAGTTACTACCTCTTGAAGAAACTTACAGATTCCATGATTTTCATTCCCCTATGCTCTACGATTCTGATTTTGAAGCTAAACCATTAGTCTTATTCATGGGACAGTATTCTACTGGTAAAACCACACTAATTAAATATCTGTTGGACAGTGATTATCTTGGAATGCGTATTGGGCCAGAACCTACTACTGATCGATTTGTGGCTGTAATGCACGATGAACGAGAAACAATAATCCCAGGAAATGCAGTAGTTGTCGATGCATCAAAACAGTTTCGACCTTTAGCTAAATTTGGTAACAATTTTTTAAATCGTTTTGAGTGTTCTACTTTGAATAATGATGTTTTAAAAAGTATCTCTCTTATTGATACTCCCGGCATTCTTTCTGGAGAGAAACAACGTGTTAACAGAGGGTATGACTTCACAGGAGTTTTAGAATGGTTTGGGGAAAGGGTTGATAGAATTGTTTTACTTTTTGATGCTCATAAACTTGATATATCAGATGAGTTCAGAAGGTGTATTGAAGTGTTGCGAAAACATGATGACAAAATAAGAATAATTCTTAACAAAGCTGATAAAATTAATCAGCAACAATTAATGAGGGTATACGGTGCCTTGATGTGGTCACTAGGCAAGATTTTGGACACTCCTGAAGCAACTCGTGTGTATGTTGGTAGCTTTTGGGATGAACCACTTACATTTGATGAAAATAGAAGGTAAGTGATGAATAAAGGAATATCATGCTTTGAATTATATTATCCATTATGATTTCACTCTTAACAAAAAGTGCCATTATGCGACTGCTGTTTTGTATAGATTATTTGAAAATGAAGAACAAGATTTACTTCGAGATCTGCAGTCACTTCCTCGCAATGCTACGCTTAGAAAATTATCAGATCTTAGTAAAAGAGCGAGACTTGCAAAGGTATGTATCTATTTTGTTTTTACTGTTTTTCTTTTCTTTTCTTTTTTTCTATGCTCACCAGAGGTACAAGTATTCAATTCACTTTGAAGTTGCTCATTTAAAACAATATAAACTATAACTTCAAATTATCTTAATTTGAAAATTCCAAATCCTTATTGTTAATTATGGTTGAATTTCTTAATTCTTTTAGATGTATATCCCTGTTGTTTAATTTTCATCTGAAGTGCAAAATGTGAATAATTGATGCTTTAAATCCTACACGTCCACAAACAAACAAAAATTAAAAATAACAGCAGTAGTAAACATTTTGATTGATTTTTATGTTTTATGGTGTCCTAAAAGAAAAAAAATTGTTGAAATGTTTTGTTTGAGTGGGAGGTGGGGGCATGGGTCAGCATCTCAGAGCAACTGGACAAATGAACTTGGTTGTGAGTACCAGAAGTATTAATTATAATGACTCTAAAAAAAAGAAATATCAATCATCCCCATGAACTAAATTGAAGGTTTTTAATAACGCTATATTTTCCGTTCTTGCTTAGAGAGATCTTTTTTTTTTTCCTGTCCATTTCTCCTTGCCCATTTCCATTGTGGGTGTTTGAAGTTTCATACATTATTACTCAGCAGTATTTTTCCATAATAAGTACGTATCTTATTTTCACATTTTTCCTTAATAATGTCCCTCAAAGTCTTTCCCAAAGTGTCGGAATTTTCCCCCGTTGTTCTTTATTGATACTTCTCAAGTTTTATGGGTCCTTGACTACAGGGGAATGTATTGAAGTGACTTCCAAGCTCATTTTACTAGTTTGAGCTTTGAATGTTGTGAGTGTACTTGTCATGTTTCTGTAGTGACTGGATCTTTTTTGTTAGCTAGAAATCTGTTATTATTCTGGCTTTATTATTAAGGTTTTTCAGCTCTTTTTGTTTTCTAAATGAAGATTGATTCATAACCCTTAGAAAATTGAAGATGTTTAGTCAAATAACGAAATACTTCCAGTGTTATTAGGTAGATGTTTGCGTAAAAGTGACATCGGCCACTATTATCTAAAACTAAGGTTTTATAAAGAAAATCCTTTGGTCTCATGCCTCTGTGGCAGATTTTGTTCATAAAGCATATTCATATGATAGAAAATATAAAAAGTAAATGTCATTCTTCTCAAGTTTTCATCTTGATTTCAAATTTTCACATGTAAATACATTGACCCATGAAATGTCATGCTATGTTTTCTAATATGTAAAATAAATCTGTTATAGACTGATAATGTTCATGCAGTATCAGAAGTCTATTAAAAATAAGGGGTAATACAAATTTAAAATTATTGAAGCAAAATAATAAAATGCAATCAAAAAAGGAAAATGAATAATAATAATAATAATAATAATAATAATATAATAATAATATAATAATAATAATAATAATAATAATAATAATAATAATAAAATAATAATAATAATATAATAATAATATATATAATATAATAATAATAATAATAATAATAATAATAATAATAATAATAAATAATAATAATAATAAAATAATAATAATAAAATAATAATAATAATAATAATAATAATAATAATAATAATAATAATAATATAATAATAATAATAATAATATAATAATAATAATAATAATAATAATATAATAATAAAATAATAAAATAATAATAATAATAATAATAATATAATAATAATAATAATAATAATAATAATAATAATAATAATAATAATAATAATAAAAAAAATATTGAAATCATTGCAACCCAATTGTAGTATTATTGTTTTAATTAGTGACTGAAGACAAACACAGCATATTGTGGAGAGAAAAATCAGAATCATTTTCTAATTCAGCACTTCAAAAATCTTTGAAATTTGACTTTAAATTCTTTGCATTTTTTTTGGCCACAAATTAGTGTTATTATTACATTAAAATAACTATGTTCATTTATAGAGTAATATGACATGAAATTTATTGAGTGATTCATACTGTATTTCATATGTGATTGATCATTATTGTGGTTATAGGCTCATGCATATCTCATGAGTCATTTGAAGCAGAACATGCCTTTCCTAGGAAGAGAGAAGGCAAAAGCGAGGCTTATTGGTGACCTTGCTCAGATATACCATGATGTTCAAGTGCAGCATCAGATGTCACCTGGGGACTTCCCAGATGTGAAAAAAATGCAGGTAAAGAGTTTGTCATCAGTTTCATATACTTAAATTCACTGAAAATGAGTGACAGGTTTTTCTAATGGCAATAATTTTTTTGTAGGATATGCTTTCAAGGTTTGACTTTGATAAATTGAAATCTCTGAAACCAAAGCTTGTGGACAAAGCTGATGAAATGTTGACAGATATTTCAAAAATCATGGCAATGATTCCTGATGAAAGGGTACAATCAGGCCCATCTGTTGACTGTGAGTACCTTAAAAATAAAAGCAGAAACTATCAGTTGGAAATAGTGGTATAAATGTGTATGATTTTTCTGCTTCTTTTTTTAAGCTGGGGCTTTTAGTGCAGTATCTGATAAAACTAGTCCTTTCGGAATTGAAAGTGAAGGTATCAATGAGGGAAAAGGAGAAACTGAATGGGTTGTAAATCGTTACAGAAGCACCTTTGATTCACTTTTTAATACTCTAAATCCCGTTGATGGAAAACTATCTAGAACTGGTAAGTCTGTTACATTAATTCATGTCTACCAACATTAAATTACACTCACAAATAATGAACAACTACAAGTTGCTGTTAACTTCTCCCACACTATAATATTTCCTACTCTAATGTATATAAATCAAAAATTTGTTTCTTACAGCTGCCAGAACAGAATTAGTAAAGTCCAAACTTCCAAGTGGAATACTTGGGCGCATCTACCAATTATCTGATGTTGATCAAGATGGATTGCTTAGCAAAGATGAATTTGCTTTAGCCATGCATTTAGTGAATATTAAGTTAGCAGGTCATGAGTTGCCTTCAGAACTACCTTCACATCTAGTACCCCCTTCGCATAGGAGTGCATCTTAGCAAGAAAATGGATCCTCAACACTTCAACATGAAGTAATCAAAATTTAATGATGTAGATAAATGAATGAATGTATTATATGTATAGAAATAAAAAGAAGTTACTTCTGTTAATTCTATCAATTGGTCATTGAATGGCAGGAATCATTAAAAAAAATGTACAAAGCACAATAATTTTATTTGTAGATAATCTTGCCGGATAATTTGTTTGAAAATAAATTAAAAAGGAAAAAAGACCCTTGTTTTTTGATCATTGTATTTCACTGATTAAAGTTGCTGTCTGAAGTTTATTTGTATTTATGGTTCCTATTTAATGGGAGTTCTATTGCCTACTTTATCTGTGAACTGCATTAAGTATTATAGGATGAATCCCATATTTCATTATTTGCATTGTGGTCTTGTGAAGAAAAGTGCATTTCAGTACCATATACACAAATGAATAGCAAGCAATAGCACTGTTGAAGACGAACAGTTTTTCATGATGTGTTTCATGGAATATTAATTTTTTTACACTTGTTAATGTTTTTCTGATAATGCATATAGAGTATCAGGAGATTTTCTACATTTTATACACAATATTTTAAAGCGGTTCAATAAATATATCTGATTATATTATATACTAACCTTCTTTTTGTTTTAATGACCTGGACTGCTGTCATTTTGTTGTTTTTGTCTTCCACTTTAAAGGTTTGAAAGTGCTGCACTGGTTCATTTACCATAAGAATACAAAGAAAAATGTACATACATATTGAGATACTTCTGATACATGAAAGAAAGCAAAGAACAAGTAAATGCTTTTTTTTTTTTTTCTGAGGAATTGCAAAGACAAAAAATCTCATGGAGTAAATTCTTCCCTAATTTGATGATTATAAAGTTTCCAATATTCAACATACCATGAAAGTACTTTAGCTTAAATTAATAATTTCATTAATATATAAAAATGATGAGACTCGTGAATAGAAATTAAATTTTGTTTAGAAGCTAAGATTGTAGTGCAAAATAATACATTTCAAAGAGGTTGCAACCACAACAAAAAATATAATGATTTATGAAATATTTATTTCATGTTTTTACTACCACGATGGATATATTTATTCCATCATGTTTGGTACCTTTCAGCACAAAATATAACCATTTTGTGTTTCAGGAATACTACACTTTGTTATTTCTTATAATACTGGTGTTACTGATGGTAAACACATTACAAGCAGTTCATTTATTCTTGTAAAATATTCCACTTCAGTATTAGATTATATTAGAATAATTAATCACACTGAAACCTACCCATTTCTTAAAAAAAAATATTCCTGCAATACCATGAAGTTCAGAACAGATGATCAATTGAATAAATGAATGAAAGAATGATGGATTGAAAATACTCTTCATAAAAACTAGTGCATTACATTGAGTGCCAAAGTATGCAGTACTGTCACGTAAATTAATATTATTTTAAAATCAATTAAAAGAAGGGATTGATAATTTTATTTATAAGAAATTGAACATACAAATGCATTAAAAGGATGCAACACCAAATGAATTTTATTTTGAGGCTGAAATGAAGGTCATTTATTTGAAGATTTCTGAACATGATAAAACATTATCTAAATCTTATTAATACTGCAGTAATTTATTGTTTTCTCTGAATAAAGAAGCTATTGCAATATTAATAATACTGAAGAACATTAAAAAATAAGAAAACATTCACAGTCATATTTCTCACTCAGCTACACAATCAACAGTTACTGAGACTAAAATGTACTCAATAATTTACATGTAACACAGTTATATCGTCACATATCAACAAATGTACATTTTCATGCTTAACACTTTGTTTTACATTAAAATTAACATTGTATGAAGCCAGATAATTACTTCATTGAATAATGAGACAGTAGAAGACATCTAATTAAGTACATAATAAGAATTTATTTGTGAGATTACCAAGTTATCCAATACTTATATGCTTATTATTACTAATTCTGAAAAATCACATTATTTTAAAAATGATTAACAACCATTAACAACAACAATTATACCACAGGAATTGTATCTGCCTGTGCATACAAGAATAAGTCACAGAGCTCTGGGCGGTAAAGTTATTGTTCCCTTCTTTTCAGAAATCTATTTCAAGCTTAGTCCACCCTTTTCTTTATTGTATTCTGACCATCTTCACAGAGAATATCATTAAATCTCAATCATTACAGTGATTTACTTACTAAAGCTTCTGTGATGAGTTGTAATAAAAGTTTTTTATTATTTCTGAACAATTACCCTACTTTGATGCAGATCTTTCTAGTTCCTTCCACCAATTTCTCCATCACAAAGTATTTAAAGCAAGAGTATTTACCTGAACAAAATCTTACAATTAATACAAATGATAATTATCACTTAGTTCATATAGAAACATAGTGTACATTTTAATTCAAAACATAAAAACTGTTTGCTTTCAATCAAACAATTTCTTCTTAAAGTTTCAAACGAAACAATAAAATTAAATTTCTTATTGACTTAAAAAATAGTATATCAAAAAAACTATTCTATCAAACCTGACTCCCAAGAAGCTAAAATTAGCTCTACTCTTTCTTGTTTCAATTTCTGTCATCTAAACCATTGGCATGCCTACTGCACTACCCAGGCCCTTATGACCATTGCAACATGTCATTTAACTAAAACTATGTGGTCCTAAATACTATATAAAAATATGGTTATTCTTGTTTTGTATGTCCTCCATTGTGGACAAATTCATTGCTTTATGTACATAAAATTATTGTATAACCTGTACATATTGAATATACATAATTTTAAAAACTTTATAGTGTTTGTTGTATTGTGTAGTATGGCAACATATATTATGCTCATTTATTAAACTCTTAATACATTAAAAACTGCACACAATCCTTGCTCACTCCAATATTCACTTAACTAAAGGGAACACTTCTTGAATTTTTTTAATGATACTCATACTCACCCTTTTCACTCATCTCTATATGAACATTCTGAATATAGCTTGCAATATCTATTGTTTCTTTTTATATGCAAAACATGCAATGCAATAAGAAATCAGAAACATCTAACATGATACCGACTTGGTACATGTCATGAAAAAGCAAATGCTTTGCAAATTCCTTCACAGACATCTAGTTGTTCTGATTATCACTCAATGGAATGATATTCACTACATATCAGAGGAAATGTGCATTTTGGAGTGGGCACCCAGCAATGACCTTTCACAGTAACTATGCATTGGCTACTCCTAGTACCATGACCCTTCCATCACGAAGGGGCACCAAAAGGTGGGTGGCACCTGCAGTGACTACAACTGACTGGATGGGCACATGCAAAGGAAGGTCATAAACAGGAGGCAAGCTGAAATTATGGAAAGAAAAACATTTTGTATTTAAATACTCTTACAAATATACCTAAGAAGCATTAATCACTAAGGGTGTGAAAATGAACTGAGGAAAACTTGTTACAATTAATTTCTGTTGACAGAAAATAAACAATTGCATTGTTTCAACCAGAGAATTAAAAAGAAAATATAAATTTTCAATAGTATTCATACGTTTTAAAGAATATTTTGTTTTTAATACTAATGATAAACAAATAGTTTATTTTGTACCCAACTGCTTTTTATTAATGAAAATGTGTGATACAAATTGCAGGAAAGTAGTTTTTTTCTCATTCATTTATTTATTTATTGCATGATATACTGAAAATATAATAATTTATAATCAAACACAATCTACAAGTTATAAGAGATAAGAGCAAGTGTTCCTCAATAATTAACTAACCATGCACATCTTTTACAGTTTGCAATGATTGTCAGTAGTGAAAATAAATTTTTATTTCAAAGTATAACAGACACAATATTTTAACAGATGTACTCACCCTAACAAGCGACTTATTGTGATATCCCCGGCATCATCACCAACAACCAACATGTCACCCGCAACAGCCAGACCAGCTACACGGCCGGGGACTAGTTTGGATCCCAATGAAACACCATTCACTGAGTAAACATGCACTGAATGGCTTCTCTATAACAATTTTAACACCATGAACATGAAAAATTCAATTAGAGAGAAATAACATCAACATTTACAAAAATTTCAGATAAAAGCTTACCTTATCATGAGCAGCAAATGCTATGTCACCCTGAGCAGAAAGAGCTAGTAGAGATACCTCCAAGTCTAGTCCATTAACACTCTGTGGTTCTAGTGTTCTTAAATATTGGCCTTCTTCAATAGTGTGAACATTTACTGTTCCATCCTAAAAAGAGGGAAATGTAACTGTACAGTCAAACTCAAGTAAAATAAATATTGAACACAGAAGATTATGGTAAATACTACAAAAAGAAAGGTATTTAACATACTCTTAAACCAGCAACACAGTATTAAAACAACATATGAATGCTCATCAAAAAGTTTTAAATTAGTTAATTGAAATTAAAAAAAAACAACATGTTAATGTACAATGTCTTTTATAGTTAATACATGTCACGATTCTTTGAATTCTAAAACTTATACACAATGCAATAATAATATAATAAAATATTCATAAGATATTTTCAAAATTGTATTTTATGAAGAATGAACCCATTGGAAACTAGATATTAATAATTTCAGTGCTTTTTTGAGTAAGCACAAATTTTTAATGAGTTTCTGAGTATCTAAGGTGATTATGGACACATATCAGATGACAGGCTGGCTAGATTCTTTCAACTTGGTTGTATGCATTTGAAATTGCAAATGTAGATACCAACAAGAGAAAATATACATTTGGGTTCAGGTATTGTTGCGTTGGCAATGAATTGTGCCAAAGCTTTTTCTGATTTTGATCAATCATTGATAAACCAAGCCTTTGGAATAACAAGGTTCCAATTGTGAAAATTAAAGGAAATAAGTTGTTAATGTGATAAGGTGCCATCTACAAGTCTGTTACAAGTAGCCCTTCTCATGCTACAATCTGGGGATAGATAGTTAAGGGAAAAATCCCTACTGTAAATGGAAAGATGACAGAAAAATAAGTTAGAGAAAATTTGACACTAATTACTTGAAAGGGCTGAAATGTTAGTTGGAAACTTGTCATTACAAAGGGTCGAAACATGAATTGAGTGTGGGGATATACAAAGGAAAATATTAATTTTTGAATTGAAGTTTTTTTCTGAGAATATAAGCAGGAACTGAACACTGTATGCTCTATTAGAATTAGATGAAAGGGAAATTGCAGTAGGTAGTTAAAATATTACTGGTACACATTAGGACTAGTGTTTTAACCACCTAAAAACCATGCAAAACAAAATAAAACTTCATGAATTAATTCATGGAAAAATATAACATAAGGCATAAAATATGCTCTAAAAACAAAATCATTGTAGTTTACATTATGCTATTTTTTAATGTTTGAAGAGGTTTATTAAGAATAATACCATATAAGCCCAGCCAGCCCAAGAGATGTAACTCCATTTTCAATTAGGTTGATAATCAAGTTCAGCAAGTAGCATTCAATGCCCATCATATGCTAGTGACATGCAACTTGCGGAACTCAGTTATCAATCTATTTGAAAATGGAGTTAATTATAAAGATCACAAAAATCACAGTTAATTTTTGAAGGACATTTTAACCACAACATTTCAACAATTTGGCTCTGTGGACCGATGAGAAGATCCTTGAGAGGAGAGACAGAGACAGAGGCAGGAGTGAAGGGTGGGGGTGGAAGACAATTGCGCCTCCCCCCCGCAAACTTGGACAAATTTGAAAAAAATATATTTAGACATTTCATTTCAGTATTATAAAATGTACAGGATAATGTTTAGCATCATTGTGAATATCCCTTACTAATAAAACCTCTTTCAATAAATTTTGCTTTTAAACATTGTTTACTTAGAAATTAAACAGTTTCATGCCTAAAATCATGAGTCATAATGCTCAAATTTTAACTTTCTAAAAGAAAGAGTATTTCCTGTTTATTATAGATATAGATATTGAGATATATAGAGGTAAAGGTGGTGATTATAGCCATTTATGTAATATGAGCCCCCTTGATATCTTTTCATACATCGTAAACATTCTAGCAGACTTGATTTTAACAACTAGTTTAATAACTCCTATTGCCATCATAGCTCTGTAATTCAGTTGTAAATGAGAGCTATTGTGAAACAGAGGTTTTTGTGTTTTCTTGGTCCTAAAAGCTTTCGAAGGTAAGTCTTTGGCTTTTAATTATAGTTTGAGTTTGCTTACACCAATTCTAACAAAACGAATTTAAAAAAAAAATCTTTAAAAAGATGAAATATGACGAATGAAAATTTGTTAAAATACACCATGTTTAAAGAATCAAAATATGCAAAAACATGCGCCAATAAAGTATCCTATTTAATTCATATTTCAAAACAAATTTGACTATTTTCACAGAAAATACCTATTACAAGAAAATATTCCAAATCAAGAAAATCCTAACCATATACGTCTATCAATGTACAAATTATTATTGTAAAGTGCTCAAAAAATACTATACTCCGGTTTAAATGTACTGTCCCTTCGGGGTCACGAGCTAAGCGGAAAGGGGGACACTGACAATCTATCAGTTTCAATCTAAGTCGTAATGATTGGATGACAGTGTCCTTTTCGCCTTCCAACTCGAGACCTTGAAGGGACCTTATATTTCAATTAGATTATAGTAGAGTGAACTACCCTGTTGAGCCACTTTTTTTTATGACTAGGGTTATCTGAAGACCGGCATCGTTGGTCGAATTGCTAAAATATGCTATGTAAAGTTACGGAAGTTAAGCAATTCGAGGCACCGCGTATTTCCGGATGGGTGACCGATTGTGTACCCTGATTACTAACGGCGTCGAGCCCTTGGTCGTAGAGATAAAACGCCGCCTGACGATGCCGTTACGAGATAAACGACAAATAACTTAACGAAGGATACACGCTCAATGCCCCAAATCGGCTAACAGAGATGGGTTGCGTAAAATGCGCTAAGAAATAATATTCATAATAGTAATAATAATAATAACAACAACAAATAAGCTTTGCGGGAGAGAGGAACTCTCCGCCAGCGGGAGCATACTCACGAGGGAGCCCGTGACGACGAGGTCGAGTTCCGTGGCGATGCAGACGCAGGAGACGGGCCGGTCGTGGCCGTACAGCGTGCAGTGCGGGCGGGGCAGCGGCGCGGTGGCGGAGCCCGCGCCCGCGGTGCTGCCGGCCGTCCCCGCGCCGCCTGCCGACGGCACCAGCTCCCACACCACGGCCGTGCAGTCACGCGACCCCGTCACCAGGTACTGGCCCACGGCGTCCAGCGCCACGCACGTCACCACGTCTGCGCACCACACGCACGCACTAGGTCAAGCTCATGCCGAGAAGACTGTGCCAATGATGTCCTCCTCAAACGTACTCCAGAACCGACAGTGAATAACAGAAACTGTACCATGGTTTTTTATTCAATGTTGTAATAGAAATTGGTTTTAATGACGTACAGAGAGGGTAAAGTTCATTTCGTACAATTTTCTGAGCAAAATGAAATAAAATAAAAATAATACAATAAATATACAGGTATCTCAGAATAAATGATTTAAACTTCTAGTGCTGTAGATGGAAGCAAAGATTAACACTTTTTGTCAATATACATATCGTGGAAAAATTTCACGTGGAGACGTGTAACATGCGCTTCTGTTTTGTTGCCAAAATTATGTAACTCTCCATTATTTGGTTTTAAGTAAAATACTTCATTGCAACAGTGATGTCGCGATGTTGCCAGTTAGCACGTATCCGCCGATGCGTTATTTTCAAAATTTTATACTTATTTACTTTATTTTCAACCTATGTTTTAAATGATTTCATTTCAGGAATTTGATATCACAGTTGCGTTATTTTCAGAGTTTGATACCTCAGGGTGGCCACTCATTTCCTGGAACAAATCTTCCTGATTTTTCCCCGTTTGCCAATGTATTATTATATTTTTTCCTGTTTAGATTAGTAGTATCACATTAATTAAAGAAAATATAAAAGCTACCCTCGACACCTAATTTCGCCATGAGAAAGTACGAATTAACTTATTACTTTCCCAGCACATAAAAATTGACGATATACTAATGTTTTTAGGCATAATATACAGTTTTATAACCCTTCCAAAATTGCCTTCCCTAACTTTTACTTATTATTCTACAAATTCCCTGATTTTCCAGAGCAATGAAATTCCTAGGCTTTCGATGTGCCCTTCGTACCCATTTACAAAGGGCAGGCAGAAGGGGTGGAGGCGGCTTACCGAAGTGCCTGCGCAGCGCCGCCACCGTCTTGCCCTTGGCCAGGCTGTAGAGGCGCAGCGTGCAGTCCCAGTGGCCGCCCGTGTACAGCACCTTGGCGTCGTGCGACAGCGCGAACAGCTGGCTGCTCAGGGCCTGGCCCGGGTGGTGCGCGTTGCCCAGCGTGCGCTTGGTCCTGCGCACACACACGCTCCGCTCAGGAAAAAAGCTTCGCCGTGGCTGGACCCGTCGTCACATCGACGTGGGATCCCACAACTCCCGCAATTGCTTCACGAACACGAAAATATGCTTCGGAGGTGTTTTCAACTTTTCTGTCTACTCATCAGTCAAGCAGTAATTTTGTATAAAATTGCTCTAAGGTAAATGGGTAAGTACTTCTTCAAAATACCTGTGAATGTATTATTGTATTTAACAAATACCATTTTACTTATTATCTTCGGTAAATTAAATGTTACAACATTCTTCCTCGATTTTCCCTCGATTTGAAAAACAAAATTATAGTGACTCACTGCGGATTGGCCTTCAGAATTTCATCTTTCTTACCATCTATAACTGTAATTGTAATGACATAGATATTGGCATTGAATGTTCCGAGGCGGAAATATCAACGAAGCTGCCTAAGAGATATGGCTCATTAAAAGTTTCCTAATTGGAAATACTGTATGTTTTTATTAACGTTGAAGTTAATAAAGTTCGTGAAGCCGATCTGGATAGCCGACATTGCTAAGGCAGTAGTGCCATGGCGATCTCAGACCGAAGAATCGCGGTTTCCCATCTCCCCAAGGGTAGCGTGGGGATAAAAATTGGATTCAGCGTAAGAATGCTGATCCCCTCAAAAAAAGAGTCACACACACTTGCCAAGGGAAAATGTAACTTGAACCTCGGTAAGTGCAGGTTTACGATCGCGTGGTCCCAGATGACCAATTCGCGACAAAAAAAAAGTTTATTAACGTTGCAACCAACGTTACAGCAGTGAGCATGATGTACAGAGAGGAATATTTCCAATATACTTGTTAGTTTTAGGATCTAAAAAATGTGAGTATTTATGAAATAGGAGTAGATAATAAAAAATAATTATTTGGTTATTATTTAATTTGGTTAATTATTTGGGGTTCGAATTTTGTTAGTAAACACACGATCACAGGTTCAAAGGTCACCTCACCGCCAGTGTCATAGCCGACTACTAAAATAGACAGCTACGCCAGTGTACCTTATCACGCAGGTGTGCAAGATATACCATTTTTTAACGTTAGGCGTTCTTTCGAAATTAATACTTTGAACTTTGACTAGCGATTTCATTGGCCAAGAGAGGCAATTGGCATCACCTCTACATTTCCACCTCGCCTCAGAAGGGATGCACCATCTATGCCTATGTTTTGAAAATACTGATGTCTATAAAAATCGATTGATTAAAATCGATTTTTCGTGCACGATGATTTCACGTTTTCGATTTTTTGTAAATGAAAAAGTCCCATTACCACAACTTTGTCAAAGTGAAAATATTAAATAATAATTGATGATACCATTGTCAGTTCACGTGTCCGAACAAAGCAAACGCAGTTTATACTACTAAGCATTTCCCGAGAGACGACCCCAATGGCCTAGTATTTCGCACGCAGAGTGCAGTAGGCGGAAAACGCATGTGCAGTAGGTTTATGGACTCCCCGTTCTTCCCACACCTTCCACGGTAAACTAAAAAGCTATGACCCCTTGAGATGGCTCTGAGCGTTCACGCTTTCTGGTTCAGTTTTGTTAATTGTTCTTATTTCCTTTTAGTTTGTTTCGTCAGTTATATCTTAAGTACAAAATTCTTCTTCGCGCGAATGTTAGATTTTACTTAAGTGCCCTATTAAAACATTGATGGTTTTGGGGGAAGAATTATTAGCGCCGTCGTTTCAATTCCGCACCTGGCGGTTTAAACCCGTCGACGGTTGTGGGGTGATGCGGTCGCGGGCGCGGCACTCACTTGGCGCTGGCGAGGCTGGGGTCGACGTCGAAGACGAAGCCGCGCGCGGGGGCGTGGCGGTCGGCGGCCGCCGCCCACGTGTGCGCCCCCACGGCGCCGCCGCGGCTCACCGACACCAGCGAGTCGTGCGCGCCCGCCTGCAGGAAGCCCCGCGGCGGGGAGCGCGGCGCGCTCAGGAACACCAGCGGGTCCTTGTCGCTCGACACCTGCGCACACCGCACATGCATAGCCCTCGTCGCACACGCAGCCACGACGCACCAAGCAGATCACGTCAGTACATGTATACTCTACTATGGGTTATGAGGGAAATACGAATTTTTTGAGTTATATTGTTGGAAATGTAACTTTTCCATTACACAAATTCTGAGACTTCATGAATGTGACATTCACTATTATATTTTTTATTCATGGAAAAATGCTTTATCTTGAACGGCCATAATAATTAGTAACAGGTAGACTTTAAACCATTTTTGCTTTTCGTTATTTGAGCGAAAATATCCTTGGAATACCGTATATATGCTCTGAGAAACAAGACAAAAAGGGTACGACTGCACTTTTAATGTCTCGCATTCTACTCCACTTTTATAGCGCCAGCAAGTTACATCTTGCATGGTGTACCAGAGTAATATTCGGGCAACAGAGAATATTGAATGAGTAGCCCAAATCAACAGAGTGCTTTTTATCAGTGTATGGTTCCACAAAAATAACTAAATTCAACAAATTCTGATATTTAAAAAGTATTCTCATTAGATATTTTAATAAATTCGGACTTCTTACAACTATTTGAATTATTCATGAATTACTTTTCAGTTCAGTTACTACAACTGTTAAATTAGAGTTTGAGCATACCTTGACTTTTTTCTTGCCATTCAGTTAACATTTGAGTCAAAATACATCTCAGATATTTTGGGAGCTTGATATGACAGTTCCTTCTCACATATCTTTTACTCAGCAGGAATGGATCAGGGAAGAGGGAACTAACCAGGGTTTCAAGAATCTGCAGATCATAACATACAAGAACAATAAATACCCAGAAAGATATTATAAAATAATACAATTTAGTAGTGCTCTTACTACTTGAATGAATTAATATGGAAAAAAATAAAGGTTGAATTTGTTTCTTCAAATAATATTGGAGAAATCATTAAAAGAAATCAAGACGAACTTAAAATAATGATTTACATACACTAACGTCTGTTCACTTAAATGTGAAAATGCGGGGAAAAAAGGAAGATCAACACTCCCAACAATTCATAAGAATGGAAAAAATCAAGAACAGAATTTTTTCTCTTCCTTCATCATAATTCTTACATGTTGCACATGCAAAACAAAATAATATGGATTGGGGACGTTGTCATCCAATCGGGAGCTCCAACACCAAAAATTTACGTCTTAAAGAAGCTCCCGATTGGATGACAGCGCCCACCTCTTCGTCCAGCTCGTGACTTTGAAGTGTCAGCTTTGAAGTGAAGCTTTTGCGGTTTCGTTCTATCGGGAGCTTATATGTCGCAACAATGACTTCACTGTGGGGACGTTCAAGCTCCGGATTGGATGAAATTGTGAACAGCTGATTTACGTCAAGTGCATGCATCCTAGTATAAATAAGAGACTTTTAAGGCTCATTCTCAATGCAAACGTAAACATAAGCTTAACACATAGCCGTACACATTAACATAAGTGATAGAAGTATTCACGATGTCTAACATAAAAGTAAGCAAAAACAAGAGTTTATATTGGCCGTGAGACATTCTAGATTACTATTGGTTGGAAGTGAGAATCGATTTCGGGGTATCGACTGTGTCCATGGCCCATATGGCATTAGTTCTTCTATTGACTTCGCTCCTCTTTCGATACTCGATTTTGAGTTAACGTACGTGGTTGGTTCATTTCTTAAGCATTAGCACATAAGTTTGGAGCTTGCAAGCTTTTAAGTTAACGTGTTAGGTGCTATGCTTATGCGAACGCATTGTGGATGAGTCCGCTCACGGACGCAGTCCTCACTGCAATGTTTGCGTTGTGAGTGGGCGTTTGCAGCGGAGACGCACCTCGACGGGCGTGGGGCGCAGGTGGTCGAGGAAGGCGTAGAAGGGCGCGCGGCGCAGCTCGCCGCGCAGCACGCGCGCGCAGAAGTCGGCGGAGGAGAGGCGCGCCGGGTGGGGCTCGCGCAGCAGCTGGATGGGCGTCTGCCCGAAGTTGTTGATCATGCCCTCCACCGCCAGGCGCTCCTTCTCGTCCGCGATCGCGTCCAGGTCCACCGCGCCCTCGTAGCTGCGCAGCCGCACAACGCGCTCAGGCACACACACCTCGCTAGCCGCTACAGGGCGGACCTACTATGTCTGATAGCCCAGGTATACGAATGTACAGCATGCATTGCAAAGTATAAAAATTAGGGATAAACGATTAACACCTTATTGTTCGCACACTAAGTATTAAATGTATTAATGTAACATGTACGTAGATGTAAACCTGTAATAAATGCAAATAGTTTACAAAACTGTCTTTAGTCTCATAATTTGAACACGTATATAGTATGGTAAAATGCGACATACAGCATTCTACTACGCCTGTTGGCAGCTAGTAGGTATGGTGTGCAGTATTTCGACAGTAACAAGTGACTGCTAGCCGAATCGGCACTAGTGGGAATGAGTAACTTGCTCATTGCAGGGCGCCAAATTGTCGGTGTAGCTCGTGTGTCTAGCTTCGGTGTAGATACCCGCAGTGTGTCTGTCTTTTGGACACATCAAAGGAAGTATTCCGATGATTACTCGGGATTAGGCGAGCAGCCGCTTGGTTCTCTCAGAGTGCTACATGTGTGTCGCCGCTTTAATTTTACATCTAGACATACTACCACTATGTAGCACGGATAACTTGTCCTCACACATCGCGAATTTCTTTATACTCGATTTTCTCAGATATACTCTTTCTAAATTTCAGGAGTGTCACTATGGCAGGGTAGATGAAGATGGTTCACAAATTAATTAATTTTTAGAAACAACGACAGATGCCAAACCAAAAATAAAAGTATTATCAAGGATTATTACCTGCAGTAGTAAAACACATTGAGTGCTTCTACAGCTTTTGGTCCTTTCTGTTTATAGCCAAAGATGAGATCAATCCATTCATGGAGGTGAGCTGAAA